ATTTTGAGTAAATTCTTCATTTACTCAAAATTGAGTAAAAATGTGTATTTACTCAAAATATTGAGTTGGTGACATTTACTCAACCGTTGAGTAAAGTACATTTTGTCATTTACTCAGTGTTGAGTAATTTATACTCTTCTCTTTGAGTAGCAGTTACTCAAAGAATTTTACTCAAAATTCGGAGTTGTTGTTTACTCACGTTTATGAGTAAAGAGTGCAATATACTCAAATTATTGAGTAATTGGTGCAATTACTCAAAAAATGAGTAACATTTACTCAAATGAAAAAATGCATTTTTTGCAGTGTAGCTGTTTCAGATGTCGAATTTTCATGTGTCGAACCGGATGACCACAATTCTTTGTTACATGCATTATCATAGAGTTCATGCAGACATGCGGGTTCGGTGCATGAAACGTTCGACGTTCCAAACCGGCCTGAGTGCAACCCTGACTTAACGTACCAGCCATTTTGTTGGCAGCACTAATATTCACGCCCACCAAATACAGATACACAAATACTTCATACATATTTAAACAATTTATGTACTGTTTAATAAACGAGCAGGAGTGTTTTATTAGGTTTTAAGCCACGAGCGCGCAACGCGAGTGGCTTCAGACCTAATAAAACACGACCTGCGAGTTTATTAAACGGCTTCAAACACGACTACAAATTCAATAGATTTACTGCCTTATTAGTATTCTCTGTATAAAATATACAGCAGGATCGTCGGGGCAGTAGGGGTAATAGCTCAACAGAAGAATATCAATATCACTGACACCAACAACAAGGTTTCTTTTTATCACATATATATATATATATATATATATATATATATATATATATTATATATATATATATATATATTGAATATTGCGTAGCTTTTGATAGATGCAAAACGCTCTGACTACAGTCAGCTCAGCTCTACTCTGACACTAAGATCCTAATACACTCACAGTTTCCTGACAGTGTCATACACATTGTTTCGTGTTAATTAAATTATGCTATTGTGCATTGTTCATCAATGGTTCATTGTGTGCTTCATGTGACCTTCACGTGCAATACTCGTGCATATAATTCTAGTGTATTAATTCCGTGTATAACAATACTAATTGGGAGGGTTTTATCAGGTTTAAAGCCACTGCACGTGACATATTATATGGTTGACATGATTTGCCAATAAGCTTATGAGTTATTAATGAGTGTTTGAAGTAAAATTAAAGCTTGACATGTGTACATTAATGTGAACGTATCTTACAAGATACAATCGACATCAATATATGCTGCAAAAAGTTTCACTATTCTGATTAAGCAAACGAATGTGATTCCTGAACAAATTTAATTCGTGACATGTTTCGACTCTTCATAATCACTCCAGATAAGACACTATATATGGACTCATGGAGTGTTAGGGATTACATTTATTAAACAAGAGTATAGGTGTAAATATATCTCATATTATACCTGGTTCATATAATTATATGAACTCTAATGAATATACACTATTATAACAATTATTATATACACACCTATCCTGCTGAAAGTAGCATTCCTGTAAAATTTTCCACCAAATGCTAAGCTATATAGGTGTGTTGTTTGGATGGTGTAAAGTTCTTCAATCTTCCGGTTTCGATACTACTTGAAGTTTGATATGCAAATATGTAACATACTATACCTGCAGTCTGTTTTTAAAGTCTATATAGGTTGGTATTCCTGTAAAATTGGCCACCAAATGGTATAGCCTATATTTGGCGTGCTGTTTGTAACAACAGAAAAGGGTTGTGATTGACATAAGGATCAAGGAGTAATTTATTCCGGAGCGCGAAACATCAGGATGCAACCTTAAGTTCTTCCGGCTTCAACGCTAATATTGAAGTTTATATGCAAATAAGACATAAAGGCGCTTGTGGATAGATTCCTGAAATCTATGATGAATTTATTTAAGCTCAAACTTTTTCTACCGCCGCCAGGAAGGGACGTTTTCATGTTTGTGTGTACTTGTATTATGTGTCGCAACTGAATAATTCAACAACTATTACACAGATGGTTCCGAAAATTTGTGGAACCAATATAGCCATATAGGCCAAGGTGAAATTGACCAAATATTAGTTGAATCTGCATGGATGCGAAATTGGATTAAAAATTTACAAAAGTTTGCTTTGGTTTTCTTCACTAAAACGCGAACTGAATTGGTAACAACACATTGCGCGTTTTGAGCACTCTCTAGTTTTACTATGAATTGCCTTTGACAAAAAAATATTGAGACCAAGATTTCCTGTCGGTAAAACAACTGGAATGTCGATTTGGTTAACCATAACTGTTAGAGGGTTGATTTGCCTACTTCTCTCATAAAGAATTTTTTGAGGCTGGTTTCCGTCTTGTAAGAGTTCAGGTTCGTTGCTATGTTGCGCAATTGATAATTGCTCTTCGGAATTATTTGACTGAGGAGCCCGTATCTAAAAAACAAAGATCTGAGATCTAAGACCGTTGGAAAAGAGGGAAACTGGAATTTTGACAGGAATTTTTTAAACGTATTTGGACGTTTTTGTGAAATAATACAAAAGAGTATCATTTGACAGCTATATAGGTCCAATCTTTTTTGACTTGAAAAAATCCTATTATACCTTTTGACACCCTAGCTGTAGTCCACAAGCATAGTTCAAGTAATAAAATGTTGATCAATGCAGTGAAGAAAAACTTTGAACTTTTCTATTTTTAAATAAAAAAAAGTTCAAAGTTTTTCTTCAATACAGTATAATTAAAATTATACTGTATTGCACATTCGTTACTTTAAAAAAGTCTACTGTAGCTTTTTATAATAAATAAAACTTGAATACAAAATCTACTGTACTTTTTTGATTAATGAAAAGGATTTGCTGCTTGTGGGACTATGCACATTTGCTAACTGAGCATGTACAATCGATGAGGTATATATACTTAACATTCAAAGTTTGAAAATTTTAAACCATTTTTTTTTCGCCCTGATTGTCCTTTCCAAAAGGTAGTAAAATCCATTCATATACTGTGGCACAGATGAAGTATATACCAAATGTGTAACTTAATAGGAATTCGTGTTCTCAAATTTCCCTAGATGTACACGTCATGCTCAGCCATGACACTTGCTAGCAAAATGACGTCCTGAAAAACACGAACGTTTGCGAATTATTGCGGCTTTTTGGATTGAAATTTATGGATTAGACAATCAGGATCATCATTTTTTCAATGTTCAAAGTTGTTAAAAGCAATTAAAGTTGTGGAAAAGCATTTTGAAAGTAACGACGTATTACCAAATGACGAATTGTCACGCGAGCGACACTTGCTAGGAAGATGGCGACCGTGGGACAACTTTTTTACTGAAGTTACACATCTGTCCTTACTTAATCTATGACTGTGGGTTTGCTACACTAAAGTTAAAAACTTAATGGAAAACGAAAATAATAAGGTCTGACGGGTTTATAAAAACAGGTTAGAGGCCAAGGGGGAGGAGTATATACATTATACAACTGCAAAAACCTCGGTATAAGGCAACATATATAGCATATGGTCCTTCACAGGTAAATAAAAACCTCTTCTTCCAAGTCCAATTAGGCATTGGTAGATAGATAGTTGCCCTCGGCATCACTGGTTTCGCTCAACTCCGTGTAAGAAGCTTCATCGTCAGTTGGAACGTCATTAGTTGCAGCGTTCACTCGCAATGCTTGATAATTATCCTCTGTATCCATTTTTGAAAAATCTAACTTTTGATAAGTTGAATCAACATCATCAGCCTCAGTTTCTGGTTGTTCAGGGTTTGACTTAGGTTTTCTGTCTCCCAACGATTGATACTTATTTTCTGTATTCAATTCTGTAAGATCTAGATAAGTTGTATCAATTTCAGTTGTTTGTGATTCAGGGTTTCGTTCGGATTTTCTGTTTCTGTACCAACGACGAGAGCATGAGAAAATGCAGGAAAAGAGGATTCCAATGATAATTCCAGACACCAATATTGCCGCACGAATATACCATTCAGTTCGACTACCCGTGTCCTTTGAAGGTGTTTTGCCTAAAAAAGGACACAGGAATATATCAGGGACACCAGTAAAACAGCGTGCTTCTTGCCGGGCGAGGTTGGTAAACTTGTTACCTTAAGCTACGTTTACACTCAACAAATGTTAATCGGGCCGATTTCAGGTTTTGCCGAATGTTAATGACGTATGTTGTCAGTTGATGATGTCATCACATGACGTTGATAGCGTGTTTTTCAAATATCATTTACTTGAGGCTGAATCAGCCCGATTAATCGTTTTGTGTAAACGTCACCTTAGTACAGTACTCGGTCAAAAGCACCAAGGGTGAAGTCAGAGAAGCTAAATTGTGTTTTGTTTGTTTTGTGTTGCCGGACATTCAGTGGGAGAGTGACAACCAGTGAGTTCCATATATATCTGAAGCGAGAACTCGAGTCCAAAAAGTGAAGCCAAGATGAAGGAAATTGAAGAGCAATTGGACATCAGTTCCAGTCCCTTTTTTTGTTTTTGTTTGCGCGTTAACACAAAGCTGGCAAGAAGTGTGCCGAAATATTTTGTATTTTGACATGCATCGACTTAAAGAATAAGTCTATATGGTTTTATGAACTGATAATATGTTTGGCGTTGGGTCCGTTAAAAAAGCTGGAATTAGCCATTAACTAACTGTTCCATTAACATCATTCAAAGTTAATGTTTGTAATCTTTTTTCTGTGCTAAAAGTCGTTTTGTTACTTTTGCACCAAGTTACATTCGCTGAAGCGCTTCCACCTTCACTTCTACATAAACATGTGAAGTTATCACTTTCATTTACTATGATAGGGCTGGAACAACTCAATCTCATAGCTGGTTTCTCTGAAATGTAAAAAATCCCTATAAGATTTTAAAATGCAATTTTGCAGGGCTAAAGCTCAATATAATAATAATCAATACTGCAGATGTTGCCGTAACGATTTAGTCCATTGTACTATGGATATGTTTCTTCTTATACATAGACCAATTGTGAAACTCAGTGGCCGCGCCTTCATACTGCACGAAAACGAGGCTTATTATGCAAAAACAAAACAATTTCTATATTTTTATATAGCGAAAAGTGAATTTTAGGGTTTTTAAAGTGTTTTTTTCTTTAATCTCTTTGATCTTTTCTTAATATTTCTGCTAGGTTATATAAATAATAGTTAAATTTATCTAAACGTCGATTTCCCACTATATTTTTACCTGCTTTGGAGAGATATTTCGTTGTTGTTTTAGCATGCGATGGAACAAACATATGGAAAAGATCAATCTAGACTTTAAAATCTGATCAAGATGCAAATAAAATAGCCAGTATAACTTAACAAACTAAAGTATAACTCTTTCTACCCAGATATTTTTAGACTTCGTGCGAGAAAAAACTGATTTTGTCAAAGGATAATGTCTCGATCAATTCCATGGGTGCCCATCCCCCCCCCGGGCGTTTGTCGGGCATTTTCAACTGTACTTGTTCCCAGGGTCGGGCATTTGCTTTCTGCAGGTTAGTCCCGGGGTGGGGAATATTTGTCGCTTGTTTTTCCATTTAGCCGCATTTTAGTACGCACGTTTACACGTGCGTGCGTATTGCAAATTAATCATGGCGGACATACACACAAAGACTTTGTTGCATTATTTGGACCCCATGGTGGGGCATTTGCAACATTTTTTCGCCAAAATGACAAATAACCCGACAAACGCCCGGGGGGGGATGGGCACCCATGGAATTGATTGAGACATAATAACATATTAAATTCATAAAATTTCTACAAATTTTGCCCGACATTTACTTTCATATTTTTAAAGTTAAAATCGAAAACTTGCTATTATATTACAACTGAAACAAAATTAATCAATGTTACAACTTATTCTTTGAAATGTATTAATAAAACAGACGGAAAATACCTGATTCTTTCTCTTTTCTCTTTTATCGGACGGCGAAAAACAGCAAAACATTGCCTCGCACGCCGCGAAAAACAATGAAATTTGAAGTAAGACTAAATCTATGAACAAGTTTAATAAAGATTTACATTGTCAAAACAGAAATATTGAAAAAAAATGAAGAGATTACCATAAAAACGCGTCTCAAACACTGAAATTCATTTTTCGCCATATAAAAATATAGCAGAATGATTTGTTTTTGCATAATAAGCCTCGTTTTCGTGCAGTTTAAGGCGCGGTCACT